CACACACACACACACACACACACAGCAGAGAGAGAGAGAGAGAGAGAGAGAGAGAGAGAGAGAGAGAGAGAGAGAGAGAGAGAGAGAGAGAAAGGCTGGCCAAAGCAAATACCAAGTGGACACCTAGGCAAAAGGCATTTGCTTCTGGTTTCAAGATTTTCCTGTTATCTTGTGGCAACCATTACTACCTACCTCCTTGTCTCCTAGATGTCCAATGTTAGCTATTCTTTGCCCATTCTGAGTATCCATATCACTATCACATTGTTTAAACCTTAATCAGGCATCATGACCTTCTGACCTCAGCACTCTATCCCTCTTAGACAACTTTCAGTTTGTCATGGTAGACCCCTTGGGGTGCAATTAGGCTTATAATCTGTAATACAGACAACATGTTACTAGTTTTATGTATTTCATAGTTTCTCAGATTCTGTAGGTTCCTTGGAATCTCAGACTCTCTAGGTTCTCCAACCTCTTGAGCTCTGTTTCCTTAGGCATTATGGGGTCTTTTCATCTGGGAAGCTCCTACAGAGACCTATGCTCTACATCCCAATGCCCCACAGAGTATTGACAGCTGATTTAAGACTACTAGACATATAGTACGTATTCCAATCCACTAGCTGCTTTGTCCAAGTATTGTTTATGTCCAATAATATCAGTGGACAGTGACACTGTTGCCACCCTTCTTGGACATCTAGGAGACCAGGAGGCTGATGATAATGATCGACTGGATAACATGGAACATCATCTCTCATCTCTCACCTCAGAGTAACCAGTGATGTAATCCATTATATAACTATATCTGACAAGAATCCACTTTTGAGTTTTATATAAATATGCCCTTGAGACAAGAAGCAAGTGGCTTTTATCCATAGTCCTCCACTGACACCATCAGTGTATCAAGTATTGGAGAGTGAGGTGGTCCCTTCTTTGTAGGGACTTGGTTCCATGGGATCTGTCTCTGAGGTGCTTGTATCCTGTATGATTGCATGTTTTACTGGTCCCAGGACATCTTGTAACTCCGTTGTTAAGGAACTCTTACTTAAAACCCCCATGTACAGGCAAGTCAGTCCCTTGCAGTCGGGAGTCATTCACCACAATCCTCATTATTTCAATGCTTCTCCCAGAGTAGCTCTCAGATTCACAGCATCTGATTCCAGATCTGGAAGAAAATCAAAGATTAGCATAATATCATCACATGATTGTGCGGAGTGACTTCCTTAGCCATTTTCAGGACTCCAGGTCCTAAGCCACTGTTTTAGCTAGGTTCTCTAAAGGAACAGAACCAAGGTGATATATATTGATGTGTGTGTGTGTGTGTGTGTGTGTGTGTGTGTGTGTGTGTGTTGTGTGTGTGTGTGTGTGTGTATCAGAATTTATGAAGTGAGCTTTAAAAAAATAATGATAGC